TTTGATTTCCACTATAGTGGAGATTGAAATATGAGTGTTAGTCATTTTTGCCTAGTGGAATTTAAAATTCCACTATAGTGGAGATTAAAATTTTATTCTCCACTAGTTGAACTTAAAATTTCAATTTTCACTGGATTCTTGTCAGTGGAAATTGAAATTTTAAACTCCACTAGTGAAGATTGAAATTTTAATTTCCACTAGTGGAATTTTAAATTTCGCTGGATTTTAATTTCCACCGTAACATATATATGCCAATGTATGTATATATCCACGAAAGGAGGAACCGAAGTAAAGGAACCGAAATAAAACAAAATAAAATAAATTAGAATTTCACTGCGGCAGAGCTGCCAAGCAACCAGCATACATTTTGAAATGCTCCCTTAACTAGCTGTTTTTTGGCTTTTGCGTTTACTGGCAGTTATTAAAGAGTATTTTTGCAGATCTAAAAACGGCCAATAAACTAGACAGTTTTTAGGTGGTTTTTAGATAGTTAACCGGTTGTCAACTGGCAGTTAATGAGCAATTTATTGCCCGTCTTTTTTCTCCTGGGAGGCTGCAGAGAGGGCGGAACCAGCATGTTCACATCTATCATCTTTCCAAAGTCATGGGGAAAGTATCCTGATGTGTTATATTTTGAAAGAAATTACCAGCTGAGGAGGTTTTCGCCGATCAGACCAAATAATTGATTAAGTGATGATTGTTCACCGTAGCACACCTAGTCTGTTCATTCAAAGTGTGTTGTAGTATTGAAGAGATGCGTGTTGATGACCTTTGTTGTTGCTATGGAAGAATGTTTATGTTGTTGAGCAAAGTTGGTTATCTTTTCTTTTATTCTTTGACACAGTTTTCAGAGAAGAACAAAGGTAACCGTAGTGTGATGTATGAATACTGTTGTCGTTTTTCATTTCTATAGTGTCATATAAACCTGTTCACGGATGACCCCTATAGTAAGACAAAAAAAAGGAGTTTTATGTATGGATGGCTCCAAAGCGTCATCTCTGTATTACCCAAGTAACGATATTGTCAAGTTACTCGATGCTGTAGTGCACATAAAGTCGAACAGCTGTGATGGATTCTCGATCTGTCAAATAAACTTTATTCTTTTTGTTAACCTGATAAATGTCTGCATATGGTGTTGGTCCTAACAGAACGAGAGAGGAAATGTAAAAATAATCGAACGCAAGAATTTTTGTGTTTTACACTTGGAAAGAAAAGGGATAGCCATGCCAAGAATGTGCTTAAATATGCAGAGATAAACACTTCACAATGTATCTCTTTTCACTCCAAGTGTAAAACATCAGAATTCTTGCGTTCGATTATTTTTCATTTCCTCTCTCGTTCTGTTAGGATCGACACCATACGCAGACATTTACCAGATTAACAAAAAGAATAAAGTCTTATTTAAAAGATCGAGAATCTAGAGTTTTATATATATATATTATAAATCGAGACCGAAACACGAAAAACTTGATTAGTCCCCGTTTTACATTTTTTCTCAAGTCCATTATAACAGTTATACAGTTACAATTTTACAGTGTAACCACTACAGTTAACTGGCAAAAAGGCTGTAACTGTTGCACGCCTAGCCCCCTACACGGCTTTCAGGTGGCCACTAGCATCCACTATGAAAAAAGAATCTAAAAATGGTAAATTGAAAACACCCGATTGTTCAGATGTCTAGTATCTCTGATGAAAGGTTGAGGCATGACGGATCAACTTCGATGGGATATGTCCATGTGTGATGAAATTAGTTCTTGAAAACAACGTATATCCACAAAAAATGCACACAAAGTTTGCGGTGTCGAAATCTAGTAAAATCATGATATTTTTGGATGGAGCTTTGCCTTGTATAGGCTATATAGTTTGTCGATTACGCTGGCACCAATGAACATATGCACTAACCAGTGCACCATGTGTTTAAGCTTAGCCGGACATATGTGGTGGTCACGTTTCCAAATTTGAGGGCACAGAAGTAATCTTTTAGGGGTTTATTCTTCATGACTACAGAACTACGTGCTTTTCTAAAAATCGAATTTTTCTCAGTTTTGTTAAAAATGGGAGAGAGCGATACCCTTAAGCATAGTCCGAGAAGTGTGACTGTACTAAACGAGGTTCTTTAAGAGCTATCAGTTTGTTTAGTAATAAACTTCCTCAGCAATAAAAATATAAACTGATAAATAAAACTATTTGTCTATTTTAGCAGACTGTTAGTTGTGTGTACTTAAAAATGGCTCACAATCAATGAGACGTTGCATTTCGTCTAATCGTTTCTTCTCGACTTCAGAATCATATTTCAACGCGAGTCCATCGTCTTGTATCACTGATCTTGTATCCAAATTATTCTGAATAAACTCGTAAATTTGTTCAATTTGATCTTCGCTCATCGTAACACCTATTCTGTTCGGATACGGATTACCTTTGAGATACAATATCAAACAATGTTTCCGTTTTGTTGAACTATGTCGTTGAAGATCACGTGGCCACCATATTAACTGTTTTTGTAATGTTGATGAATAACTAAAACCCATACCGATCATCTTTACTTCTAAGAAGTTCAACTGTTTTAATAAGCGAAATTTACATGAATGAATTTCGTGGTATTTTAGAGTTTTATCACCTTGTGGATAATCATAATTATGAACAACTAATCTATCGTTATAACAGCTAATATACGGATTGGTATAGACGGGAGAAGAAGGCATATTTTCCATAACAAATACTAAATGAAAAGCAAGCATACGTACTGAGAACACCAGTCAGCAATTCATGAACATTTTCTAACTTGAATTTCTTCAATATCACATGGTAATATCAAACTTACTCTGCACGATGAAAAAGTCAGTTCTCCTGTTTTTACAATTCAAATTTCTTATATTATAAAAGCAATTATTTAACTCGATAGTGCTTGGTATTTTTATTTCACAGCGTTGATTACGCCACTATGTCTTCAAGCAACATTAAAGTGAGTTTGTATTATTCTAACCCGGATGCAAAAAAAATCAATGAAAGAGAAAAACACTATACCTTTTAAATAAATGTTAATATATATCAAAGAAGACACCTTAAGGCTTTCAATTATTCAAAATGCATTTCAGGTTTTTGGAACATTTCTTGGTTTCATCGTATAACATATTCGTAGCTATAGTTCAACAAAATAACTTGTCTTAAAGATTACCCAGGCGAAAATAAATTATTAGAAACGGCACGAAAAACGCGTTTTTTCTGAACACGTGAGCGAACGATCGTTAAAAGAGCCGTTTAAACGCGTTTTTTGGCAAGCAAAATTTTAGAATAACACGTTCTTCGACAACGCGTTTGCTAACGATCGTTGAATTAACGTTGAAACACAGTTTTTTGTTAACCTCTGAAGAAGGATTCGCAACCGGTCCGGTTAAAATATAAAGAATACGAATCGCTTATTGTTATTGTCGCACAACCGTTCAACCGCTACAAAAAATACATTAAAATATTCATAACGCAGTCAATACGATCTGGACTACATAAGAATCTCAAGATAAGCTAGCTCTATTTTATCTGCACAATACCTTGGGATTTTAGAAAAATTTATAAAATTATAAATAAAGTAGTTGTGCGAACAATAAAGCATCAGATTCGAGTTTGTTCTTATTCATCTATGTTCAAAGATTGCTTCAGGCAATAAATTGGGACTTGATGTGATGTATGCTGCTCTATTTGAATCTGTTTATCTTTGTCGTGTTTGACTGCTAATAACTCTTCATCTCAAGATAGAAGTCAAGTTTCTTTTACTAGAAATCACGATAAAAATCTTTTCATCGTCCTGTCTCAGAATGTTTAAAGCTTAACGAAATATATTGATCAATTTGGACTTTGAGCTCTTGTACGCTCGCCGACAACAATAAGTATACAAGAAAGTTTCTTGACTCGACAGTCCTTCACGATGAAACTGCGCTAAAAAACTAACCCATCGTTTAGATTTTTCTCGTAAGTATAGTTGTTGATAACAGTGAATTCATGCTTTTTTTAATGTGCACAGACCACTAAAGTCAAAACACATTTATTTTGAATAGCTTTTCAAGTTTTATTACAAAATATCACAAATGATCGTCCGCTCATATTGACTGGAGATATTAAGCTTAATTCAAATAATTTGCCATTAGGTGTTCATAAAATTGTCGATGCCTTTTCTCTTACTACAGTTTTCTGCTGTGCAACAACAATACACAAAGGAATGATGGTTGATAATATATTTCCTCCTGGTGAGTGGGTTTACTCATGTAATAAAAACACGCTCGAGCTACAAAAATTGTCTCACTTTACCTTGTCGGCAATTTTTATCTTCACAAAGGAGCCACCGAAAAAAGTGTACTGGAATTATATGAAAGCTGTGATTTGACTGAACTTACGAGGGAACATATCCAACTGTCACATTTTTGACTTCAAAGATAGTTCTTTGTAGGTTATCGATCATGTTGATTCCGAATATAAACATGAGAGCTGCTAATGTCAGGCTCGGTTTTCTAGAAACTCCGCAAAATGTATGACCTTTGTAAAGAAAGGTCGTGTAGAGCTGGGGGATGTCTCATTTTAATCAGAAATTTTCGAACTACAAACATGACTTATTAAGAAAAGGTTTCGGAGCTTCTGGAAAACTCGTTTTCCAGAAAATCCCTTGAAGAACCCGACATTAGCAGATCTCATATTTATGTTCGGAATCAACATGGTCGATAACCTACGAAGAACAGTCTTTGAAGTCAAAAACGATGTGACAGTTGGATATGTTCCCTCGTAAGATATTTTTCAATTCCTATGTAACTGAAACTTAGATACTTGGTTAGAATATATTCGTTCGTGTCTCAAGAATAAGAAGATCCGTTAGCCATTTTTCGGCGATTAAGGAAACAGTGCGACTTGCTCGTCAGCGAAATACAAAATTTTATACCACATTGGCAGGAAAAGTAGTGCAGGACACTTGGAGGGAGCACAAGAGCACACAAAAGAGTATATCAGGCAACCTATGAAAACTGTATTTCGAACCTTCCGATTGTTTTGTTTAATAAAAAAACACATATCTGCATCATAAGCAAATATTGCTCACTATGGGTGGATGTAGCTTCCAGAAAATTGAACAGCGGTCGAGTGATGTCCCAAAATCTATTTTGTCTCCAAATCGACGTCTAACCTATCTCGTATTTCCCATTCAAAATACGCAAAAGCATTATCAAATATTTGTGATACATTGATATATCACTATCATCGTTCCAGAAAAAATTCTCTTATTTCACGAATTCTTCCCTTATGTGACCGAGATCAATGCATATATGTTAGCCATATTGAGAAAACCATGGCTTCTTTGAACATGAAGCAACTCCTTGGTACGAATAAGGTTTGCTAGAGTTTACGTATGCTTTTCACATTAATAAACTCATTTAGTATCTGTGCTAATCAGAGCATCAGCTTTTACATGAAGAAAACGTGTCATATACAACAAATACGAAGGACTTTGTGGAAGCAACTCCCAGCACAGAAGGCACGTCCAATCAAATGCACTAAATAACATAAACGCCGACTAAGATAATAACCGAAAACGACAAAAGAACCTAAATTGGTACAAAAATATCATTTGATCACCTACGAGAATAATGTACGTAGGAATGTTAGCAGCGAGAAACGATGAAAAGTACTCTCTTAAAAAAAAGAACCAAAAAAGGGTATTTCCATGCCGAGATGCCTTTTTGGAATATCTGAGTAACAAATGCAGATATCCTCCTTCTTTTAGGTTCCGTTTAGAAATACTCTTAACCGCATTTTACAATACCATTTTGGTATATTAGCCTACCCTTTTTGGTTTTGCACCAACTATATTACTTGAGGTTTGAATACACACTTATCAGCAGAAACTGTCCGGCTCCGATTTTGTTCGTTCATACATCATTCGATAGAGGACCTCGAGTAGGCAAAAAGGCTAAAAGGATTTGGGCGGAGGGCCCTTTAAGACCCGGTTTTCTGAAAAACCAGTTTTTCAGAAACTCTAAAAAGATAACCAGCACCTTTCTTAATGAGGCAAAATTGTAGCCC